AATTGTTTCCTCAAATTGCTCATTGTCTGAATCATGTACATGGCTACACATGACATATATGACGTAAAAAATACAATAATCATTCAAAGCACAATGTATTCTTACTGGCTTCCACATTTCATATGAGTCAGAACCAGTAGCCAAACATCAATAGAAATCAGTAAAGCATTTAAGAAATTGTCATGTAATTTGAGGAAGGCAAAAATGAAAGAAGAAAAAAAGGTTCACATTTGTGGGACCAAATCCCAACTTAGAGGGTCGAAAAAGTGTCAAGATGTGCTTGAAGAGTTCATGCACTTCAAGTGGAAAACCTGAGGTTTACGTAGTTTATGATTACGAAATGTTCGCAATCTCAGCCTCTCGTTCCTTATGATCTGTTTTTAAAATCCCACACAACTTTTTTCTCTCTTTTTTCAGGTGAGACATAAAATGTAGGTTTCTAAACGGCATTTAGGCTGGAAAATACGGCGAGATACATCAAGTTACGCAAAAATTTAGGAAATCATTCTTACACGACTGTTTTTCGAAATTACACATCTCTAACACCAAATCAGTTTGAAAAATTACCGAATTAGATTTTACTAACGTATTATTCTTTTCTCTAATATTGCCAAGTGTTTCCATTCTCAATAAATAAATAAATAAATAAATAAATAAATAAAATAACATCCGATATAAACATAAATTGGTCTATAGTGTTCTTCAAATCACCGCATGAAATCGTTTTGTCCATACAATAATATAAGCATCAAATGAAAACAGGAAAACAGTAATCGGCAATCTCTCTCTCTCTCTAAACTTTATTTTGAAGTGATCTTATAGGATTTGACGAAAAGTTATTCTGGAACATGTGTACTCGTCTTTCGTCTAGATCTTTTCATTTCACGGTAGGGTAAATACGGTATCTTTCCTTCCGCATCACCGAAAAGATCTTTGATTATCACATAAACCACACACGGAACATCTCAACTGCCTAACCCTTCGCCTCCGCAGAGAGACCTCCGCTCACCCTTGAGGCCTCTCTCACCGGCTGCAGTCCCTCCCCGGAGGTCCTTGTCCTTCAGGCGTTGATATGAGAGAGCGAGTCTTTGGAGCTCTGTCTCGGGAGCGTGGCGTAGGAGGGGAGCGTCGAGTTGCGAGGGGGGGGCTGGGGTTTCCTAGAGGAGGTGGAGGAGGAGGAGGAGGAAGCTCTCTGGAGCGTGGCGCTGCGATTGGTCCTCGGAAGAATCACCTCTTGAGGCTCCTCCGTGTAGGACGCCGGCTGTGGAGGGGGACACGGGCCTCCGGGCGCCGAGAACTGGCACGAGGACGCCGGGCAGGACGCACCCGGACTGGAGAACTGGCTTCCGGAGATGGAATACTGGTCGGTCGAGGACGAGTACTGGCTCACGCTGGCGGGGTACTGGCCGCAGTACTGCGGGTGGTTGGGGGGGTAGGGGCACGAGGAGGTCGACGTGGGGGGGTATCCGGGCAAGGGGGGGTCGCCTGCGCACTGGCTCTGTACCCTATACTGGTCTGGGTACGTCCTCTCGCCGGGGTACTGCGTCACATCGGCCGGGTACTGGCCGTTGACCATGTCGGGGTACTGGCCGTTGGACACGTCGCTGTAGCAGCGGGCGCCCGCGCACGCGCCCGTCTCCAACACGTCGGCGTGGGTGGACACGGGCGGCGTGGGGGGCGTGGTGGCAAGCAGGGGCGGCGGCGGAATAAACTGGCTCGTGGGCTGCGAGAGCAGCGAGTGCATGGAGTTGCTCGTGTGGAACGTTACCTCCGTGTTCCTGTCGCCGATGTCGGGCGGCGTCGGGAACGTGTGCAGCTCGGTGCACTGCAGGTCGACGCTGCAGGCCGACTTGCCGTCCTTGGAGGGCGACGCCAGCGCCTCGTGCGTGGACACGGAGCGCACGCCGCTGTCCACCGTGCACAGCGGCTGGGCGGACGCGCTGTCGTACTTCATTTTGGGCCCGAGGTTGTTGCGGTCGCGGCGGTAGATGAGGGCGGCGAACAGGATGGCGTTGAGCACCAGCAGTGACAGCCCGATGGCCACCGTCAGCGTCAGGGCCGTGGTGTAGTCGAGGAACTGGCCGGCGGGAACGACCTCGGAGGAACCGTTGACGGGGCTGCCCTGCGCGGCGCTCACGTTCGGAGGGAGGTACTCGTCGCTGGGCGTCGGCAGCGCCGTCGCCGCCGTCGTCGCCGGCGTCTTCGTCGTGTGCAGGAACCTGAGAAGGAAAGACACGACGTTTAGGGAAGTTTCTCACCGGAAGATGGAATTTAATGCATCTCTCTCTCTCTCTCTCTCTCTCTCTCTCTCTCTCTCTCTCTCTCTCTCTCTCTCTCTCTCTCTCTCTCTCTCTCTCTCTCTCTCTCTCTGAATATATATATATATATATATATATATATATATATATATATATATATATATATATGCATATATATATATATATATATGCATATATATATATATATATATATATATATATATATATATATATATATATAC